GGCCTATCTATGGCCTTCAAAAAGTTGATGACTCTACGTGTTTCGACGTTATTCCTAAGGATGACGTTGTAACGGCGAAACATGTAGAGTCGTCAACTTTTTGAAAGCCATAGATAGGCCTAAATAAAATGTTTTTAATTGTGTACCAGTTTAATGTTGAATATTATTTATGATTTTAACTTTATACACAAGTGCCAAAATGCTATAATTATTGTGCTATGTCTTTCAGTAGCTTTAGTGTTCCAAACTTGTATAATTTTACAAACCCATATTATTTGCATTTGATACCCATTTTCTATGCAGTACTGTATGACTGTGCAGTGGTTTTTATACACTTTGTTAGAGAAAAGTCTCCTGTTTGAAACAGTGGGTAGATATGTGACTATATGAGGATATCTTAGGGTTGACCCTGCTAGAATCAAGGAAGTTGGTCCAGACCGAGCTGCAGCAGAATGGCTAATACGTTGTGGAGCAGCTGTCAAATGGAAAGACATGGAAAAATGGCAGACTGACTACAACACACTACCAGGCAGTGGTTTCCATAGGTACAAGGTTGAAGTTATTGATGCAACAGACTCTGCTGTAATGGACATTGGTTTTCCTCACTTACGTAAGGAATCTGACTTTTATCTTCACTTATTAAATAGTTCAAAATAATATTTATTGAAACTAGTATAAAGCACGTAAAAATGATGTTGGGTTTCTCTTACAGTGGTTTATTTCTTAGCATCAGAGAATACAAGGCTAATAAAAGTTAGATTTAAGGTATTTATTTTCATGTAAAAATATAGTAAGTAGTGTCAATAGTATTTATGAGCATCTTGTTTTAAGTCAGATAATGAATCTAGTGCCTTAATTTGCAAAGAAGAAATTGAACTTTCTAAACAAATGGCCTTTAACTCCTTCAGTTTTGAGAAAGATTCTCAAATTCCCACTTAAAAAGATGATCTAAGATGAACTTAAAGGATCGGATGACTGTGACTAGCCTGGATTTTAAGGTTTATTGAAAAGATCATGTTCTAACAATGATCCATACACCCTATTTGGTTGACATAAACTGACTATCCAGCAGTTTTAATTTTAAAATGTCAAAACTAGCTCTTGCATTGACTGAACTTGCAAATGTTAGGACAAAGTTATGAAGGTTAATTTGTCTTCAATGCAGATCTGTAGCAAAATGTTGTTTACATTGTAAAATTTAATATTTTCAGGAATAATATTCTGCCTTAGTTAGGTCTTGGACCTCTAGCTTTCACTAAGTGCTTTATCAATGAAGCTCTCAGTACTACAAGCTCCATAAAAAATAACTCCTGTCTCAATCATTACATATTCCTCACCAACTCCAACAAAGCTCATCATCAAGCTTTCATCTCAACAATTATGCAAACACAAACTACCAACACAATTATACAACACTATGACCCCATGTTGCGTGCCAGTTGTAGCAGTTAATTTTTAAGAAATAATACTCTGCCCTGACCAGAATCACCAACTTCTATTGATGCTCTGTGACTGTTATTCTTCCAACTGATCTTTCTGAACTACAAAGCCGTTAAGAGACAATTCCCATCTCAATTGTTCCAATGTAAATTTACCTTCCAACATTTTGATTTAAAATGTCTAAACCAGGTCTTCTTTCACCTGAATTTGGGAATAAAGACTGTTTTTGATGTATTATTGTATACTTAACAGCCTGTAGAGATATTGTTAAGATACCTGGTGTTTTCTTACTACTATAACCTTGTATTTTCAGATAGCACTGGTTTTCCGTAAGAGTGACAACATTGGTACATTGAATAATGAGAGATTTGTTAAGATATTTACTGCAAAATAACTCTGTATTTTCTGGCTAACTTAGTTGTCATAACTAAATAGAGACTGAACACAAATGCACAATCACAGTAAATTAAACAGTTTTTATTTAAACACAGTGAAAATGTATTATACTTGTCACAATTGGCAGTCGTTTCTACTGGAGAGTTACCTCTGTAAAGATACTCTATATCAGATTTGGTCATAAACAAGACCAACCCTAGTGAGCTCCTGTTCCAGACCAAATAAATTTCATGATACCAACTTAAGTTGATAATATCAGCCTCACCAAGAGTGATTAGAGCTACCCACTAGCTCCTCATTCCCAATGAAACACGAGATCGGTTATTACATCAAAGGGTCACCTGACTGCCAGTATAAACATAACTACATTCACATACTATGAGTGACCTTGCAGCAGTCTTTTTCATGGGAAAACAAACAATGCTACTGTAGGTGAATGACACAGAACAATAGGTAACTGGAGTAAAAGGAACTTAACAAGCTTCTTGATCAATGTTTTATGTGGAAACTGACAAACGTTTTCACACACTGTATGCTTATATACCACAACCTTTTTCTGTCAAAACTGATAGTTTATAATGATCATAGTTTCATGTTTTAGTGTAAGTTAGCATGTTTGTTTATCTGTAATTTTGTATTATTATTTAACTTGTGTTATACACGTTTCTTTTATTTCATTTAGACATATTGAAAAGTTATCACTGAAAAATCTCTTTCTTAAAAAGGTATTTTCCAGAAAATTGAAATAAAAGGGAAATTTCTGAAACGGCAATACCCCTCTCACCCTTCATTTGCTCTCTAGGCATTTGTAAATTTTTTAAAAGTGCACCAGTCTTTTATACTTTTATATGTTTTGCGTCAATGCAGCAACATGTGCTGATCATGTGACCACCCTCCACCAATCCCCTCTACCCTTGTGGCACAATATTCATTTGCTCAATGGGCATTCTCGTGTGTTTTACGTTCTTCATGTGACTACACAATTTTTGATTTTGCTTGATCACCAATTAATATCAGTTTCAAGTTCAAGTTTCCACTCATTTGTTTTGAGATATTTCTGTTTCTCGAATTCTACTTTGTTCATATGAATTCGGATTTTTTATGGCGGTTGATAATTTTCCTGCCCTAAGTAGACAGCGGTTATAACACTAGGCCTCAGTTTCGGGTTTCATGATGTCTGATGAGGAAGCACAGACTTTCATTTGCAAGGAGTTCATGTCTTATGTTCATCTGACAATTTTTTCCTTTCAACATGGGTATTATTTTTTGCTTTTTTTCAGGAGTTCTGTGGTAAGTTTTTCAGAGTGTATTTCTCACTCCTCATAGATATACTCATGTTCAATGAGTTTATGGGAGCACTTGTGTATGGATCTAATTTCCACACTCAATAATTTATGTCATTCATGTCTTCATTGGTCAGTGTTGTGTAAGTTCGAATTTTATACTTCTAAGTTCTATTACTCTCTAGGTTACTTTAGTTTACAACTTGCATTTAGAGTTTGTTTCTTGCATTAATTTGCTTTAATATTTTATTTTTTTTTGCTGTTAATGGTATTTAGTAATAAGTTCCTGTTTTGTATTTTTACTACTAGTCGCATCTAATTGGGGATATGTTTTGAGTCAACCTTTGTTTTTGTTAACTGAGTGCCTTTTTATTCTCATGTTTTTAGGGTAAGTTTTCTATGTGTCCTTTGTTTTATAGTTTCTTTGAGTCGACTTCTTCCATGTTCTATGTTTAAGAGTTGTTTATCATATCAGTCTCTTTAGTGGTTTAGTACTTTAAGTGTTACTTATTCAGGTATTGTTTTATGTTTTTGGTCGATTTCTTAGTTTTGCAGGTGTTACTTTTAAGCTCTTTGTAGACTACATTTATAAGTTTTTGTAGTACATTAGTTTCTGTGTACTTTCTTCAGTTTCTTTAAGTTGTTTTTTTCGCTACACTTCACAACAGTTATGTTTTGTTTAAGGGTTCCCTATGAGGGTTTCTGACTTCTGTTTTGCTCCCCCTCTATTCACTTCTCAGATCTCCTCCTTTTCTCCTCAGGATCGTACCTTGTCCGGTTGTCTTGCTCAGTCTGTTTGTATCCTACTACATAATGGAGCTATCTAACATGTGGAGTCCACTCAATCAGGATTTTACTCCCGTCCTTCTTTGTCTCCCTTCATCGTTGAATTTATTGCTAACAAGTCACAGACACCTACTCTAGAAGAATCCTAAGCCCAACAACTATATAGTATATATTTATACTATTAAGAAATATAAGTAAAAGCCATTTATTTCGACAATTGGCAAAAAAAACTAGACCCCATATACATATATAATATTTTTTTAAATCTGACAGAGTGGTATGCTTTTGCAAGTCATCTTCACTCACTGGGTCTTCAGACTCACATTTCATGGATGACAGGCTTCTGCTCACCTCATCCTGTGCCCAGTCAGTCACTCACACCTGCTTCCTTCTTTGGGAAACTTCTCAGGTGGGTTTCTTTTCTGGTTGAAGAAGTCCTTTACTACTCCCTCACAGTATCTTTTTCATTTGGGGGTTCTCTTCACTTCCTACTCTAGACCCCTTCTTGTGTTCTGTTAGTTGCTTCAGATTGGCCAGCTCTGACATAGTACCCTCTGCTCTGTCCCTTCATGGAGCAACAGACCCTGCCCCTTTCTCTGTCCTGTTCACTCCTCTGTCCACCTCGATTGGTCGTTTTTCCTCCTGATGTCACCATAATCTATCTTTCTGTATGTCTTTTGTCCAGTTCAGTGCCTCAGCTCAGGGACTCACTCCTCATGTCACATCTTTCATTGCCTACACCTTTCACCCTTCCTTTTTGTATATGTACAAGAGACACAAGTCTTGATTCAGTTTTTGGTCTTTTTTCCAGGGCTTCTGTACCTCCTGTACTTCTGTTCCTCACCTGACCCAGCTCTTCTTCTGGTTGTTTGTTCAAGGTTTGCTTTATTCAGTTGTTGCTTTTTATAAAGCAGCCCTGTCAAACTCCCTCCTTTCTCCCTCTTCCAGAAAGTTTCTCTTCCCCAGGATGTTCCATTTGTTTCATCTGGTCCATTTGACATGTTTCCTTTGTTCTGCCAGACTGGGATCTCCACATTGTTCTTCCTCTCCTGTCTGGTGCTCTCTTTGAACCCATTGCAATATGTTCCTTATAAGATATTTCTCTTATGACCTCAATCCCCCCCCCCCTCCTGGCATGCAGTCTTAATTGTTCCAATTTTTATGACATCCTTTACCATTTCTCGTATGTTTTTCCTCATCTAGATCCATCATTCCTTCTCTGCCATTTGGCTGCCTGGGTAGGTTGTTTTGCTTTTTCTCCTCTTTCCTTTCCTTCCTTTTTCTCACCTGTATTCCCATTAGTTTCCAGATCATCTCCTTTGTCTAGTCCATTCTTGCTCTGTTGCTTGGCTCATACTGTCTCCTTTCAATTGTTCTTGTTCCTATTTCATTGTTCCCCTGATCTTTCTCCTATTATGCTCATGGGTTGAGTTTGTCAACTCCTACACCTGGCTTATTTGGATGTGTCCCTAGCCGGTCATCATCTACATATTGTTTCTTCACACTTAATGCATCATCTAACTCCATCTTTAGCTGCTCAACTCCACTGTCATTTGTAGGGGATCATTCAGGCTGGTATGTGAACAACTTCCTAAACTTTCATCACTCTTTCTCTGCATAATTTTGGTGTGTCTTCCTCCTGTGCCAATTCTACACATGTCTGTCTGCCTGTGACTTGGGTAAGGCGTCATATCATTATTTTCTATTTTATCGTTGCTTATACATTATATTTCAGGATCCCACCTGGTGGCAGATGTTGTCTGGTTAGGTATGCTGAATTTTATATCTTAGCACTATATCTGTATACTTCTCCAATGCTAGATGGGGTGTTTCAGTAAGACCACTGGACATTTTTCTGGTGGTGTATCTATTTACATATATATCCTGAGGGCCATCACCCATGGACTTCATGCGTAAAGTAGATAGGGATTTTTGCCCATCCCTACTGACCTGTGATTCTTACAATCCAGATATCCCATTGCATGTTCCCCTCCCCTCTTAATTCTAGTGTAGCATGGGGGACCTTGGTACTTCTGGTGCTCAGTTGCTAGAGTGATGGACCATGGAGGTTTCCTCACAAGTGGATTTTGTACAATAACACTGTCTCATAGCCATATGTACTCAGTCGATGAGAAGAGGGCTATTGTCATTATGCTGCATATTATACACACAATATGGCATGAAATCTATTATACAAGGCACTTCCACTGAATGTTTTCTGCCCAGATGGACCATGGTTGGCTATCTTGATATCAATACAAAGCCCTTTCCCTGGATGTTTTTCCTGGGTGGACTGCACTTGTTGATTTTACAAACTTATACAAGGCGCTTCCATGTTGTTTTGGTCCTTGGACTGCACTTGACATAATGTGTCGTATTCCAAGATACTTCCCCAGGATGTTTTCTGCTCGGGCGGACTACACTTGGCTTATTCATATAAGGTCCTCTAGCCATAGCCACGTATTTTATTCGTTTCTGCCCTTCATGTTTTATCTTCTTTACTAGGTGAAGAGCATACCTGTTCCAGAAGTAGTGCTATACCTCACAGGTGTGCCTCATATTTTAATTTGGGCACATCTACTTTTTTTTACAGAGGTTGCTCTCTGCATGATTATTATTTGTTTTTTTGCATCTTCACCAGCTCCTCCACCTATCCCATGTGAGATTCTAGATATGGGGGAGATATGGTAGTACCGTTTCAGAAGTTAACATTTGCTAACACTGAAAGTGTATTCAGCCAACAAGACACTGAAAGTTTGTCACTGTGTTAAGTCTAGTATGCCTCCACAATCTTCTACTAGCTATCTCACAGTGTTGGTAACCACATGTTTGCTTTTTTCACCCACCCTTCCTCCCCACTGACTTGCTAATGTTTTTGGGTTTGTATATGCCAATTCTCGAAAGTGAGGATTGTGCTGCAAGGATAGAGGGAGCTACCTGCACTAGTATAGAGAGCATAATGGGATTGGAGTAGAGTGGTCACATGATCAGCACATGTTGCTGCAATGATGCAAAAAATATAGGAGAATAAAAGACTGGTGCACTTTTAAAAAGTTTGCTAATGCCTAGAGGGCAAATGAAGATCAAAATAGCTGTGTGTGACAGGAGGTAAGTGCCTATTGGGAAATACAGTTTCAGTGTCAGAAAATGTTAACTTTTACATTTTTCATCTGCTTCTTTTACAGACATAAATTAGGTACTGTGTACTTGTTTATTATAGTGTTTCTTGAGCGATAAAATAATTCTGTGTTCATTTAGGTGGCCTGGAACATCTTCGTAAGATGAAATTCCACCGATGCAGTTACTTGGACAACAATGCACTATTCATGCTGGCTTATGTTAAAAATACCTTAGATAACTTAGAAATTGTGAGTTGTGGGAATGTTAGTGATGAGGGAGTGCTCTCACTACAGGCTTTACAGTAAGTAATATTATACCATTGAATACTTTTAGATCTTATGGTTACAAATATCACCCCATAGATTCTTTTAGATCTTATGGTTACAAATATC